AAAAAAGTACATCTCTTACTATATATAGTGCTTTTACGTATAAGACAAACCGGCTAACAATTGAGCAAGAGAATTTTATCTTTCATATATAGTCTTTTAGGTATTAGAAAATAAGCTTGCTAACGGAAGAACTTCTTCTCTCATATATAGTTCTTTTAGTTATAAGATAAGTCAGCTAACAATCAAGCGGAAGAATTTTTCTCTTTGATATGTAGTGGTTTTAGGTATATAAGTTAAACCGACTAATAATTGAGTGGAAGAATTTCCTCTCTCATACGTACGTACGGGTGTTAGGTATAAGATGATAAACTTGCTAATTCTTGAGCGGAAGAATTTTCTCATATGTAATGTTTTTAGATATTAGAAGATAAGCTTGTTAATAATTGAGCGGACAAATTTTCTCTCTCATATGTAGTGCTTTTAGGTATTAGAAGTTAGAAGATAAGCTTGCTAATAATTGACGACTGACATAACTTTCTCTCATATGTAATAATAAGAAACTAAGAAGATAAATTTGCTAACAATTGAGTGAGAGAACTTTTTCTATCATATGTAGTTCTTTTTAAGTATAAGATACTCCAGCTAGAAATCCTAGAATTGAGCGAAAAACTTTTCTCTCCCATAAGTAGTGCATTTAGTTGTGACATAAACCCGCTAACAATTGGACGAAATAATTTTTTCTCTTATATGTAGTGTTTTTAGATATAACAAGATAAGTTTGTTAATAATTGAGCGGAAAAAATTTATGTCTCATATGTAGTGCTTTTGAGTGTTTTTTTATCATCAAAACGGCTTTCCATTAAAATAGAGCAAACACACAACACCAAATCCAGACACATATTACAGATCCGATCGTAAGCCCTAGGAATAGACTTAGAGAAACAACGAGTCGGCGGCGGCGATGGAGAAACAGCGAGTCGGCGGCGTCGATGGACTACCAGCGACGGCGAAGTTGATTGGCGGTGAAGAAACACCATTAAAACAAGGCAGAGAGATGCAGGGAGAGGGCAGAGAGGCGCAACCACTTACAGATCGAGAATGGAGATGAGAGGTGGAGGGAGAGATCGAGCTATAGAAAATTAGGTTTTAATATTATTATATAGGTAAGTACTCCCTAATAGAGGAGCGGCAATGGCATGGGGAAACCCTAGCCGCCGTCTCCTCTTTTTCTCTTCTTTTCTTCTCTTCTTTCAATCTTCTTTGATTTCAATAATAGAAAAACATCTTTTAATCAGTGTTTTCAGTTTTATTCATGTGTTTCTTTCCCAACATTGTTTGGAGGTATTATTTTCGGTAGCGAAATATCATCTGCCAGATCCATATTCCCCTCCACTTTCGGTCGGGCGTTCTTGTGTGCTAAGAAGAGATTTGCACTCATCTCTTCATCAATCAAAAACATGATTTTCTTCTGCGACGATATTGAGACGGATCGTCCCTCTCCTGAACCACCACCGTTCTAGGAAGATGAGATCATTTGGGTTGCTTTCTTTTCGGTGGCTAATGAAATCGGAACAAATTCTACAGTTGGCTCCTTACTGGTGGCTGGAGAAACCGGGATGTTTAAGAGTTCTTTTGATAATTATTGTGATCGTAGCAGGAGCAGTCAATCTGCAGACTACAGGTAGAGTCTACTTCTTTGCGGGATTAACGATTCGGCGTTTTCGATTAGAAGCGTCCGTTTCTATGTATCATCCCATTGTAGCCTTGAGCTTTACGATTGTAATGTTTCTTGTCATCTTCATTAATAATAATTAAGTTATTTGTTTTAAAAAAAAATATTATTATATAGGAGGGTATAATGGTAATCCGGGATCTTATTTAGGGAATTAAAAACGTTAGATCCTATTTGTGCACTAATGTTTATTATTAGTGTGAAACAAATCATGGTAAGTGGAAATTTTTTATTCCACCCGGAGTAGGGATTCAATCCAGAAGTGTACAAAATGACAGCACCAAAGATAAAGAGCATCTCACCAATAGTCTAAATTGTTCCCGTTCAATGCGGCGATAAATCATGAGATGGATCACAAAACTATCAATTTCGAACCTTCACGCTTCAGCTGAGAATTTCAGAATACTCTTTAAAAACTTTGGAACAATAAATTAAAAGATAAACTCGAAAAAAATTTGAGTTTTCCTATAGGTACTTCGGTATTGAACATTACACACAGACATTTCAGATCAAATAAAAACTTCTCTTAACGTGAAAATTGAAAACAGTTCACTTTTATCCGAATGTGATGCACTTTAACGGTGATGTGTTGCACTATTTGAACTTCAGTTGAACCATGCTAAATAAGAAAAATGTGGAGGCATTTTCGTAAATAAGTCAAAATTTTCTGTCAATGTGAAAAAGTGCAACACAGAAACGTAATAGTTCACACTGTGGAAAAAGGGGACGGTTTGCAGTTTTCACGATAAGAATGGTTTTTATTTTGTTCCATACCCTATATATATGGGATGGTTTAAATACAAAGAGCTCTTCCCATGCAAAGTGAGAATCAATCTTGTGCATTCATTTCCACATCTAATGGCTCAAAATGAGAAAAAATGCACTAAATTCGACCAAAACCGCGGTGACAATTTCTTTAGTAAACCACACTTTTTCGCCACCTTAAAAAAGTGCAACAAAAATACGAAAAAGTGCAAGCAAAACATGAAAAGTGCATATCTTCGCACTTTGCACGGGAAGAGGTCTTTTTATTTGAACTCTTCTCTCTCTCTCTCTCTCTCTCTCTATATATATATATATATATATATATATATATATATATATATATATATATATATATATATATATATAACTCTTTTTTATTGTCTTTGAATGCCTTCATGAAACAAAAAACCCTAAACTAAACCAATTTAGAGATAAGTGGTGCAAATTTAAATGATTTAGAACATGCAAGATCCATTATCCAATTAAGTGAATACATATATAGTACTCCTTCCTTAATTAACTTTACATTCAACATTTCACGGTCTCCAATAACGTTGATGTTTGACCATTGATATGTAAAAATACACACTTATAAAATTTATAATAAACCAAACTCTCAAAAATATACGGAGTATATAAAAATGAAGAGAGAATTCCCAAAATAGGAGTAAAAAAGTTTTGAAATTCCAAAATAGGAGTATCATGTTTTTATTCCTTGAATATGAGTAAATTTCTGCCAAGTTTGGCATTACTAGATTTTTAAACATGACATTTTTTTCAAACTTGGCAGATTACTCCTATTCAAGAAATAAAAAAACATGATACCACTATTTTGGAATTTCAAAGCGGTTTTACTCCTATTTAGGGCAATTTCTAGAAAATGAATCATTCAAAATTGTTTTGATATTATAAAATATTACGATTTCTGGGTAATTAACGGTCAAAGTTTACAAAGTTTGACTCAAAAAGTCAAAGTGTAAACTTAAATACAAGACGGAGAAAGTAATATTCAAAAAAAAGTGAATACATAATATAAACTGATGTTTTCCATATTCTTCACATATTGACATATATGCATATCCATGCAACTATTTTAACAAAATGGACTCATAAAAATAAAATAACGAGGTCTGTTAGCTTAATTAGGAAGTGTACTTCAATTTGACAGAGGGTACATAAGACAAGAAGAAGGGAATAATTTATCTAAATATTCCAAGAAGAATGCCAATGATGTGTTGAGCACGTGGCTACCAAAGAAATATTCGTACATATAGATATAATCGTAATTGAAAATTAGATGTGATTAACCAAATTAAACAATGTTTTATTTTGCTAGCTTCACCTTTCTCGAAAATGAGTAGACCTATTTTTTGTAATAATCCACATGAAATAGGTGGACTGTGTCAACGAGTGAGGTGTGTTTTGTTACATGCAAGAACACATGCACGTCACATTCAAATAATTGATGTGATTAGAAAATAGGGACTCTACAATATATGCTACAATCCCTTGGACGGGGCTTTGATGAAAGTCCAGTCGGTGAAGCAAGCCTAGCATTTTAGAGCACTAAAATAATTGTTTTTATTGAAAGAAAAGTTATACTTTGTACGGAAAATAATTAAAATAGTTTTGGCAAATTCAACTAATATAGTTAAAGAATAATCTTGATTTTATTTGTTTTGATTATTACACAATCTAACTTATGAAGTTAAATATCATATATTTCGTAACAAAGTTGAACGATAAGATTGATAACTTAGGATCTGAGTTACCAAATTGGACTATCTCTAGCTACATGATATGATGATAGAGAAAATGGATGAAGTAAAAGTTAAAACATAACACATTTTCTTAAGTAAGATCATTTCCCCCCAAATATTACTCCTTTTTATAATTTTAGTTTAAGGGAAAATCGCATATATGGTCCCTCAGTTATCTACGAAATTAAAATCTCAGACCTGTATTTCTGAAATTATAAATGTCACCCCTCAATTGTCCAAAATGTTGTAAATGCGCTCCTTTTGAGGGGTGAAATATACCATGTGGGCGAGAGTACATTTCACCACTTAAAGGACCACATTTACAACAATTTGGACAATTGATGGGTGACATTTACAATCTCAGAAATACAGGTCTGAAATTTTAATTTCGTGGATAACCGAGGGACCATATATGCGATTTTTCCTTATTTTAATTAAATAATACATAATTCATATTTTGAAAGCAGGTGGAAAAGTGGGTATTCAATATATTAAGCATTTTGTAAACATCACTTTACAAAATCAAAATTTTAAAATAAAAGCAATGACACGTACTCTTTCTTGCATATTATTATAGTACACCCATACCTTGTATCCTTAAACGACAAAAATATTAGATAGTTTCAAACATGTGACCTTCTCTTTAAACATGACATAGTGATGTATCATGGAATACAAGTTTTTTGTTCAATATTATAATAAGTATTTTAAAACACATTTATTCTCTTTAATTATATATTGTTCTTCCCTAAAACTATAAATATATCATTATGAATATCCAATATGATACCATTTGTAACTATGTCGGGGTCAGTCAACAGGCCTAAAACGAGTCTTGTATATATGGAAACATGTCAATCTCTAATCTCTTTAATATATCAATTTTAGTTAATTTCTTAACAATGTAATTCATTCACCAAGATTAGATCAGAGGCTTCTTGGCAGGTAGTACCCTCATAATTTGGGTGATAAGCAAGGAAATATATAGGCCAGGAGTGCAAGGAAGTGTTGTGTTTGTTGAACTAAAGAGAGATCTCCCAAACACTAACAAATCCCGGCCTACCAATCACCACTATACCTTCCCCACCAAACACACCACTCCAAACTGATCATCATCTCCCCCACCCACAAAGCCGGCTTCCATATATGGCTGCCACCCAAACCATAATAGCCATAGACGATCAAGACTTCAGCTTTCCGACCACCTTAGAATCTCCCCCGCCGCCACTCTTTCTTGATTTGCCGCCAGCTTGGTGGAGGTCCACGGCGGCAACCTCTAACAGCGAAAACCCGATGAAAAATGGAGAACAAGAAGAGGAAAATGACCGAAAAGGTTTCTCTTTGTCCAAGAAGGAGGTCAGTAAAATTGCCCAAAGAAGGAGCTTTTCTTGCATAGAAGGGAGAACAAAGAGGAGGGAGTATGGTGATGAAGAGGAGAAGATGGATATGTTGTGGGAAGATTTCAATGATGATTATTACAAGAGAAGTTGTAGGGAATTTTCAACACTTGGGAAGTTGGAATTTGAATGCCTCCAATCCTTGAAGTTGTCTTCTAATAAACCAATCAAGAGGCCAGCAGGAATGGTATTTGTCATGAAAGTCTTGATTAAGAAGGTTTTCTTGCTTCATAATTCTGACAATCCATCACTCAAGAAATTAAACCCTCATAATTAATAATCATCTTGTTCAATCCTTTTGTTTGATTTTGACTGTCTATAATATTCACACATATATAGATCATCAATTTTCAGGGCCATAATGTCACCCTCCAAATCAAACACTACCTGATTTTCGGAATTTGTCAGTTGTGATATACTCTGTATGTTGTATTAATGATTGTGTTCTAGCAAATCCGCCATTAGTTGTGAATTATTTTGTAGCATTTTTTGTAGATGTGAATGCATAAATTCGTCATAAATTGACAATTTAATTAATTGTTGAGTGTCTAGTGTCACCTAGGGACCGGAGAAAAATACTAAAATTTCGGTATATCGTACGTAGTATATACCATACAGAAAAATACCAGATTTATCCACTTAGGTATACCGACATTTTTGGTATGATATGGTAGTGTACTGATTTACTTCGGTATGGTATCAGTATATGTTTTGAAAATAAAAGGTATACCGGTATACCGTTATACCAAAGATCCTATTCAAATGTTTTTTTTAAATGTAAAAATAACTAAATACACAATATCATATTAGGGATAAATGATTTTATATCAATGTTATTTGAATAATTTTATTTTATTTGTTAGAAATCACTATTGATTAATTATATCGATATTGTTTAAGTTATTTTAGGGGAATGTGTTATTTTTTAATATGTGGCGTATTGAGATACTTAATTATACTAATATAATTGTTGTCCAATAATTAATATGAGATTACTATTTGTATTTTGTATAGAGTACATTTTAACAATGGATTAAGTATGTCGCTAGTAACATCGAGTATATTTCATTAGTCTATGATAGTTTGTTGTATTGAGAGACATGCATGATAATTTACCGATATCGTACCGTTACCGAACCGAAACTTTGGTATACCGAAATACGGTATACTGAAATTTCGGTAAGGTAACGGTATATAAATTTTATATATCGAAAGTTTCGGTACGAAAAATGTATGAGAGAAAATATTTGGTATACTGTACCAAACCACCCACAGGTCCACCTCCTTTCCACTACAAAAAAAACAGCCCGTTTGTCACGGATTTTTGTCACGGATTCCGTCCGTGACAAAGTTATCACGGTCTTTGTCACGGTATTGTCACGGAAACTGTTGTCACGGATATTTCCGTGACAAAATCCGTCACGAATTCGATGTTTTTCTCTTTTTTTATTTTGACTATATCTATGAATCTATGATAGTGCATGCAAATAGTCACACATATAGAGCCCGTTTGGTGACCCTATTTTTCAGCTTATCAAACTTATTAGTCAACTTTTTCACATGATGGTACTATGCAGGGTTGGTCCCGAGAAAATGGAGATCCTGTGCAACAATAAAAATTGGGCCTTTTTTAAGTTGCAACACAAGCAAATTGTCTTAAAATACAAGTTACTAATAAATGTCATTTTATTTCATTTCATTTTCATTTACCCCAGTGCCGCAAAGGCTCCCACCTACGGTGTGGTAAGGCGGGGGTCGGATGTACGCAGTCTTACCCCTGTACTAAAGCACAAAGAAACTGTTTTCGGATGACCCATAGTGAAAATCGCGTCCAAAATTGCATGGACTGACTGCTGCTCCATAACAAAGAAGCGCAGACAGTTTAGTGAACCATTTTGCTTTATTCCATCATAATCTCAAGCCAAAAAATAATGAATCTTTGGCTCCATTGCAAATGATGGAAATTACTAATAAATGTAATGATAAAAATAAAAATAACCATTAATAACTTACATTTTATTTAAAACGAGATATTGTTTGAGCATATTTAGATGAAAAGTCCTCTACCAAACTTGCAATGTCAATCTCTTCGAGTGTTTCAGATTATATGGATATCAATGTCAATCCATTGAGTCTCTCTCGTGACATAGTTGAACGCAAGTAGGACTTCAACAACTTCAACTTGGAAAAACTTTGTTTTGCCGAAGCGACGATAATCGGAATGGTTAGCAAAGCTCTGTACGCAATAAAGGCACTTGGAAAACATTTCATTTCTTTTTAGAATTCAAAATTCTTGTTGCCCCCATCTTTTCTTTTGGCAAAATCTCTCTAAGCAACTTCAACTCAATATACAAATCGTTTCCATCAATATCCCTCTGCAGTACTGTTTGTAAATGAGTGCAACATGACTCCAAATCTAAATCAGTAAGAGATTGAAACTTCTCAGAATTGAACAAGAACCCAAACATATTTTCATACACTTTGTATCGCTCAAATCTACGTGTCAATGAACCAATAGACTTATCAACTATTAAGAAAAAGTATTCTACTCTGAACAGCTCTTCTGGTGTTGATGTGGATGATACTGAAGATTCACCATCACTCTCATCAAATTATTTTTTTCTACGGATTACACACTTCTGTGGAAACACTGGTTCAACTTCCGATTCACCGGCTATTTCTTTAGCCACATGCATAACACTAGAAAAACCACTTTCTCTATACTTCTCAAAAAAGAAATTAGCCCTTTGACTTCAACAATAGCAACATCAAGAAGCATATCTTTTGCTTGTAGTTTTTTGCTCACCAAATTAACAGCATATAATATTTCATACCAAATAACCGTAGCAAGTAAAATTCAAAATTACAAAGATCATTTGTAGCTAAGGATCTAACTCCACTTTGTATTTTAGAATCATTGTCTGGCTTGGCCAATTCTAGCAATGCTTCTCGAATGTCACTGATTTGAAATTTAATTGCTTTGACACTTTCCACACGACTTTCCTACCAAGTGCTTGATAAGGATTTTAGAGTTAATCCTTGGACATTTTTTTAAAAAAATTGCCATCTTTTTGTAAAATTAGAAAAGAGTGTGTAGATTTGTTGCACTACTACAAAAAAATCTCTTGCTTTTCGAGAACAATTAGCAATGTCACACAAAGTCAAATTAAGGTTATGACTACCGCAAGGAGTATAGAATGTTCTAGGATTTACATCCAAGAGTCTTTTTTGCACACCTTGATGTGTACCTCTCATGTTTGATCCATTATCATATCCTTGCCCTCTAACATTATCAATATCAAGATCAAGAGACTTCAACACACTTTGCAACACTTCAAAAAGGCCAAGATCTGTCGTGTCATTCACAACCAAGAATTCCAAGAAAAATTCTTCTATTTTAACCGGATAAGAGGAGATATCAATACATCTTAACATCAAAGTCATTTGTTCTTGGTGACTCGAATCAGGAATACAATCTAGTATCACAGAAAAATATTTAGCTTCTTTGATTCTTTTAATGGTCTTAGATTTCACTCCTGAAGCAAGCATCGCTATAAATTCATTTTTAATCTTATGACTAAGATAATGGTGATGAGTATCCTTATTATCGACACGATGAATAAGCTCTTGAATAATAGACGACGAATCAATAAAAAACAACAATGCAACAATTCAACAAACATGAAATCAGAAAATCAGAAAATAAACAAATTACAATAATTTAACAATTCAACAAACAATTCAACAATTCAAAAATTCACAAGAATTAGCAACTAAATGAATCAGAAAAACTGAAAATCAGTGGACTGACTGGACTCAAGGAGGTGGGTCGTGGTGGGGCAGTGGCGGCCTGGCGGCTGGCGCTGGCGCTTGGTGGCGGGGTCAACGCTCAGTCCTTCTTTATCCTCCTTCCATCCTTCACGGCTTCACTCCAGAGCAACGGCGAAGTGGTCCTATCTTTCATCGAATCGTCGTCTTTCTTCTGATTTCCGTGAGAAGTCCTTAAGTGTGTTGGTGGTTTGTGCCTTTGTGGTTGGGTGGATGATGGAGAATGGAGTCGGGGAGTTTGGTCATTTGGGGATGTCGGGTGCAGGTTGATTGGTTGAACGTTGAAGTTGGGCGCATGATTTTGGGTTGGGTTCTAATACTAATTTTTTTTGGCCTTTCAAAATTCCGGCCATGGGTAGCCTTGCCCTAGCCCGTCCCTGGTACTATGAACCTAACCCATATATAGCCCAACTACGGAAATGAATACTTAATTCCAACCCAGCCCAGACAAAGGATTAATGAGAAAGTTATAAAAGCTTGAACATGGAGATTGAAATCCACTACTAGGTTGGTCACGCCTGAGCCGACCTGGATAGCAGGCGCCGGGCCCAATGGAAATCCCTTGGAGGTCAGACTCTTCCTAGCTAGGGCTTACATGGCAAAAGTTCCATAAATGATGGACATGATTAGTGGCATCATAAATCACAAAGGAAGAATTAAACATGAGAGTTATGACAAAGATGTTACAAGAGTCCTATCATAATTAGAACCAATAATGACAATAGTTAAGTCTCCTATTAATTGTATAATACTTCGTACAACACTTATAAATATCCATGTACATGTCTTGTAATATAAAAGAGAGAGTTGAGCAGATTAATAATACTGTTAATCCTTTCTTTCCTACGCTCAATGAACATTTGATAGATTAAGTTCTTGTAATTTTTTATTCCGCGCACTGAATTGTGTAATAATAAAAAAAGTAAAGTTGAAGTTAATTTTCTAATTATATTGCTTGAAGTTACTGTACATGATCATTTTAACTATTTTCATATAATTTTTCTTTAATATATTAATAAAATATATTTTAATTATAATATTTTCATAAATCTGCACAATCAGTCAATCCAGTCACTTTAGCCAGAGTTTCATAAATTTTAGCAGTCTTAATCGATCCAACTGATTCCAATATTACCAAGTAGGCTCATATAGATAATAGATCAAAAAATTTGAGGGCATTGACGTTACCCATCAAATCAATCAGTACCGGACTTGTCATTGTGATATATTTTGTACTCACTCACTCACATTTTATATGTCTTACTTTCTTTTTTATTTTGCTCCCGAATAAGGGTGTTTTTACTTGGATTGGAATTTGCCGGTCTGCTCTGCTCTGGTTTGGTATGATCTGGTCGATCTGGTAAATGTTCGGTCTCTGTATATTTTATAACTATGGTTGTTTGGTCTGATTTGGTCTGGTCTATTTAAGTATGGTCTGGTTTGGGACTGAAAACAATCCAAGTAAAAACATCCTGAGTGTCACATTTCATTTTTTGAAAAGAAATATGTAGTATACAACATTTCATTTTATTATACTCAAATCTCAACCATAACTTTCACTTTATTAATTATTGTGTCAAACCAAAGTAGGACACATAAAATGGGATGAAGGTGGTTTTATTTATTGTGTTC